CTCCCCTACTATCTGATTTTAGAATTGCTATTAGGGCTGGGCTCTACACACATCTGTAGAGAATATCTGGACTCCTTCTGTTACTACTTTCTTGGGGGTATTGAGTGTTGTGTTTTTCCAATCTCTCAGTTACAGTACAGTCTAGTACAGTCTGGGGACCTGTAAACTTTTAGAGCTTCCAGTATTCCAAAATCTGATCTCTGACCTCGTGTTCTGAGCACTACATGTTTCTAACCTGGGTTTCAGTCCAAGCAACACACCTTTGGATTTGCCTTTTGTTGGAGTTTCATAAGACTGCTGCTGTACTCAGCCACTATCAATTAGTTGGAGAGTTCTGCTGGTTCAGAGGAACAGAACTGCAGCCTCCCCTTTGCTCTGGGAATTCCTGCCCTGATTATTTCCCTGTAGGCTTTAGACTGGGCTGGAATCTGGCATTGACATCTTGGCGGGTTCAATAACATGCCCCACTTCCCACTTTTCGATTCTCATACCTTACACTTCCCCTCGTAATCTGTGATCAAGTTATACTGACTTCCTTGGTGTTCCTTGAACAAAACTCTATGTCTTTACCCTGAGTGTTTTCACTGGCTTTCCACAACCTGAAATTTCTTCCTTCCTCGTCTCTGCCTTCAGGCTTTCCTGACTTCAAGTTCTAGCTAAAATCTCACCTACAGGGAGCCTTTCCCAGTTCCTCTCAAGTCTAGTGCCTCCCCTGTGTTGATTATCTCCGATTTGTCAGATAGATAGATAGAGATAGCTTGGTTGTATATAGTTGTGCATATTGTCTCACTTAGGAGACTCTGAACTCCTTAGAATCAAAGAGTGCCTTTTACTTTTCTTCATATCCCCAGTGCTTAGCAGAGTGCGTGGCACCTAGTAAGCACTTAGTATGTATTTCTTATCTTACCGACTATTGACTCACTTATAGATGGAAGGAAATGGGGAGAGGCCAGGAAAGGCCTCTTTGAAAAGTTGGGTTTTGAACTGAGTCTTGGAAGAAGCCAGGAAATCCAGGAGGCAGAGATTAGGAGGAAGAATATTTAAAGTATGAGAGAGAGCCAGTTTGAGGAACAAGAATGCCATTGGAAGTAGATTTAGAGTGCATGGGGGTCAGGGTGTCAGCAAACTCTAGAAAAATTGGAAAAGTAGAAAGAAGGCTTCAGGCAGGGAAATCCACAAGAACACTATAGCAATATTCACAGTGCAAAGGATGAGAACCTGCACAAGACTAAATGAGTCTAGAGAATGGGATTTGTAGAATAGATGTTGTGAAGATAGAAATGATGAGACTTGGGGACAAGTTGGACATCTGGAGGAAATCTGGGTGAGACATTGAGGATGACAATGTAAGCCTGGTTGAGTGGGATGACCATTGAGAGATCAATATGTACATATTGTACAAAAGCGTATACAAAATTGGTACAAGGTAATTCGAGGGGGAGATTCTAGAAGTTAGGAGATCATCAGGAAAGGCTTCATGGAGAAAGTGGTGTTAGTGTTGGGGCTTGACAGTAATTAAGGACTCAAAGAGGCAAAGATGCATTTCAGTTAAAACAAATGTTCAAAGATGGGGGAATGGAATTATGTTGGAAGAACATGACTGAACTACATTTAGACACTTTTTGAAATCCTTGGGATAAGTAATAGAAAAACTTTCTGCAATTATAGTAATAGTAATGTAGAAAACTACTTACTGGTGGCACCACAGCACAGAGTGCCTGCCCTAGAGTCAGGAGGATCAGAGTTCAAATCCCACCTCAGACACTTGCCAGCTGTGTGACCCCGGGCAAGTCACTTAACCTCGTTTACATCAGTTTTCTCATAAGCTGGAGAAGGAAATGGCAAGCCACTCCAGTATCTTTTCCAAGAAAACTGCACAAGGGGTCATGAAGGGTTGGACATGACTGAAACAACTCAACAACAGTAATAATGCTACTTAGATACATGCGCATACACGTTAAAGACTCCTGTGGCAGCCTATTAGTCTTCATTTTTTTAGGGGAAATTTTTCTTTAGGAAAAAAACCTTTTTTTTAGGGAATTGTGGTTAAGTGACTTGCCCAGGGTCACACAGCTAGAAAGTATCAAGTGTTTTGTCTGAGGTCAGATTTGAACTCAGGTCTTCCTCACTTCAGGGCCAGTGCTCTATCCACTGCAACACCTAGCTGCCCCTAGAAAACAGTGTTAGAATAGTAGGAAAGGTTTCCTTATCTTAAGGCTAAATCTGCATATTTTTGGTAAGTTCTATCCATTGCTTTAAGTTCTGTTTCCTGGATCCAGAGAGAATAAGTCTAATCTCTCCACAAAATGAAAGGATTTCACATATATTCATGATGGCTATCATCATTCACTTGTCTTCCCTTTCCCCGTGCTTGACATCTTCAGTTCCTTCAGGTGGTCTTCACATGGCATGATCTTGACTCCTTCAACATTCTGGTTGTCCTCCTGGTGACATTGTCCACCTTATCTGTCTTGTTCAAAATGAAGCTTCCTGATTCATATACAATACTTCAGATGTGGTCTGAGTGGAGCAGAATCCAGGGAGCTGTTGCCTTTATGGTCCTGGATGGAGGAACCTTTTCTTGGACCAATTATACTTTAACCTGACTGCTGTGTCTGAGGGCCTCCTTCCTCTAATGGATAAGTGCTTGTAGCATGAGGTATTATTCTCCTTGTCCTTTCACCTTTTCATCTTCTCTTTCTCTACATCCTCTTTTCTCCTGCTGATCACCTCATGTGGGCATTCCTGATGAGTCTTTACTTAGCTTTCTTCTGCTCTCCTTTGCCCTTTGCCATGGTGAGCTCATTCCATTCTTACTGATTATTGCTCTCACTTCTATGAAGTTGACTCCTAAATAATTAACACTACTCTGGGGTGAAGGAAGTGCCATCTTTGAACTTAAGGGGTCTGGGTTCAAATCCTGGCTTTGTTCCATCAGACAAATCAATTACCTGGTATATACTTTGGTTTCCTCACTTACAAAAGGAAGGGATTAAAATAGATCAGAATTCCTATCCTCTTCTTGCTTCATGGACCCCTTTGGCAATCTAGTGATGCCTAGGAACCCCTTCTCATAATTGGGTTTTATATTTTTTTGCTTTTTTTTTTTTTAGTGAGGCAATTAGGGTTAAATGACTTGCCCAGGGTCACACAGGTAGCAAGTGTGATATGTCTGAGGCCAGATTTGAAATCAGGTCCTCCTAACTACAAGGCTGGAGCTCTATCTACTGTGCAACCTAGATACCCCTCAAAATTGTGTTTTTAAATGCATACAATAAAATGCTCTTGATTGCAAAGGAAAAAAATTATGGTGAAATGCAATCACCAAAATACTTTAAAAAAACTAAATTCATGTACTTCAGTCTAAGAAGCCCTGGGCAAAGTGAACTGTAAGGTTTTTTCAGCTCTGAACCTGTTAACATAGTGTTCTGTGATGCAATGGTTTGTATCTTTTTCCATAATTGTCCCCAGCTCCTGCTAGATATTTCCATCTACTTTCTGGGGGTGGGGGGGAGCCATCTCCCGTTGTCTTTATCTATATCTTGCCATTGGACCCAGATGGCACCAGAGGAGATAGTGTTGCTGGTGACCTTGCACAGCCCTCCCTTACTTAACCCCCATTCACTTGCAAGTCATGGCATTGTCTTCCTGACGTCATGGTCCTCTTAGAGAATGAAAGACAAACAACAACAACAACTTTCTGGGTGTCCTTTGTCCCTGTTAAAAGGGCAGCTCAAGATCAACTTTTCTTAAATGGAACTTACTATTTAAAATCTCCTGGCTTCCTCTTTATCTTTCCTGTTTCTAAACAGCATGATCATTTCCCTAGTTGCAAACAGTTATGCATTCTCATAGCTTTGTAGTCATCTGTGACTCTTTGCTGTCCTTCAGACATAGTTCCCATTGGGTACTATTTTCTTTATATTCTCTCCTCACATTATTTCTTACCTCTACCCTCTCTTTTCTATTTGTACTGCCAGCATTCCACTTTAGGCCCTCACTTCTTCCCAGGGACTTACAATAACCTCTTGACTTTTCTCTCTGACCCTAGTTTTTCTCTTTTCTCCTTCCATTTCATCCAATATATTCCATCTAGGTTATTCTTCTTAATACATAACCCTGATTATGTCGTTCCATTTCTCAATAATATTTTAATGCCTCCCCATTCTCTTCTGAATATAGTTAATATGCCTGCCTTTCAGGACCTTCCACCATCTTGTTCCAAACTACATTTCCTGCCTTACACAATGGGGTGGTATTTATATTGCTAGATTAAGGTTAGAAAAGCACTTTCCAAATATCATCTCATTGCACCTTCACAACAGCTCTGAGAAATAGGTGCTATTGTTTTCTTCCTTCTATACATGAGGAAACTGAGGCTGAAAGAGGTTAAGTGACTTGCCTATGGGCACACAGATAGTGTCTGAGGTCAGATTTAAATTCAGGTCTTCCTCACTCCATGTTTAGTGCTCTATTCATTACATTCTATGTACTTGCCTCCAGTATTCCCTTATGCACTCTTTACTCTAGCCAAATTGAACTGCCATCTCCTCAAAATAGTATGTTTCATGTTTTTGTCCCTTTGTTGACAATATTCCCTTCACCAATACTTACTCATCCTGATATCAGTCCTGAAGACATTCATGGTTCAACTCAAAAGGCATGTCATCCATGAAGCTTATCCCTTATGTGATTTTTTCCCCTATCAGATGTTGGAGAATTTTGAATGCTTACATTCTGATATTTCTGATTTATTGATGTATTTTTAATGTCCCAGAATCAGAGAACTTTAGATTATAAAGAGATCTCACTGTCCATCTAGTCTAACAATACGCATATACATATATTACCAATTAGATCAAAAACTCTTAAATGGCAAGCATCTTGTCTAATTTATTATTAGTCTAGTGTCTACACCAATGTATGTTTCATATATAGTAGGTACAAGAAATGTCTATTGTTTAAATGAATGGAAAAAGTTGGAGCTGCCATTGACTTACCCCTATATCTGCAGTGGCACCAGGATGTCTCTTTGTGGAAACATTGGATTGATTTGACTGGTCTGTGTGGTTCACCATGGCAACGATGGCAATGCTCAGGCTGGCAAATTGTGCGGTTAGTATTAGATTACAGAAATGTATCACGATGGCCAAAGCCATATCTTACTGAACAGAAACCTTCAAGAGAGAGACCAAGACAACAAACATGTAGTAATTGTATAAACAGACTAATTTTCTTTTTAACAAAACATAAATCACAAAGTCTGTCATAGGATTGTTCCATTTCTATTTAGATTCACATAGTTTGTGGTTGCCATCTGGACAGAAGAGTATTATAGAAAAGAGCAATGGAGTTGGAATATAGAGGATACATTGATTTTGAAACACAAAATGTGAGATGAATGTAGAATCACAGATACAAATAATGAAGTCAGGATAAAACAGAAATTAGCTTGGCTTTGGACATGTTGAGTTGGAGAAGCTATTGAGACATTCCAAGAGGTGGAAGTGTCCTATAGGTGGAACTGTCCTACGGACAGTTGGTGACGCTTGTGTGTAGCCCAAGATAAAGGTCAATGATGAAAATATTGAATCAGGAGTCATTTGGATATTGTTAAGTCCAAAGAAGTAAATAAATTGGGCAAAGGGACAAAGTATAGAAGGATAAACAAGGAGGATGAGGGAACGAACTTTGCAGAAAATTCAAACTGAGAGTTTAGGAAGAAGTAGAGGATTCAACAAAAGAGATGTATGGGGAGAAATCTAGTGCCAGGATCAGAAAGCAGCATAGGTATTTGGTAGAACTAGAACTGATGTTGTCATCTGAGTAGATTCTAGACACTGCCTTGACAGAAAGAAGGAATTTGAGGAACAAGTCATAACCTTGGTCCACAGGCAAGGTATAAGTACTCATGGGAGACTTTGATTCTCTGGATATTTGATGGAAATCTCTGCCTGAACAGAACAGTTTTATTATTATTATTATTTTGTTATCCTTGATAAGAATTTGTTCTTTCAAAATGTGGAGGAACCAATAAAGGGAAATTCCATTCTGGACTTTATTTTCACTAAGAAGGAGGAACTGCTTGTTGCAGTGGTAATGATAGGAACCTCAAAAGTGGGGTGGGGTAGGAAGTAACCATCGTTGTGTGTGTGTGTGTGTGTGTGTGTGTGTGTGTGTGAGAGAGAGAGAGAGAGAGAGAGAGAGAGAGAGAGAGAGAGAGAGAGAAGAGAGAGAGAGACAGTCAGACTTGTACTTTAGAAAGATGAATTTGACAGCTGAGGGAGGATGGGCCAGAGTGGGGAGACCTGAGACAGAGAGATCAAGCAGCAGTCTATGCAAATAGACCAAGCATGAGGTGATGGGGCCACTAAGGGGGTACTATCAGTGTCAGAGGAGAGAAAAGCACATATGTGAGAGACGTTAGAAAGGTAAAATTCATAGGCCTTGGCAACTGATGAGATATGCAGGGGTGGTGGTGGTGAGAGAGTAGGGAGTCAAGGAGACACCTAAGTCATGAGTTTAGGAGACTGGAAGATTAGTGGCATCCTTTTCATCAATAAGTAAGCTAGAGTGAGGAAACAACTTTAAGGGAAAGAGGAGTTTAGTTTTGGTCATCTTGAATATAAGATGTCCAAATCGAGATGTCCAATAGGCAGTCAGATATGTAGAACTGGAGGTTAGGACTGGACAAATAGATCAACGAATCATCTGTATAGAGATAGTAATTGCATCCAGTGGAGCTGATGAAATGGGAGTCAAATGAAATAGTATATACAGAGAAAAGAAGAGGACCCAAAACAGAGCATTGGAGGACCTCATGGTTATCGGTCATGACCTGGATGAAGATCCAGTAAAGGACACTGAGAAGAAGTGGTCAGACACGTAGGAGGAGAACAGGGAGACATCTATGTCACAAAAACCTAGGGAGAAGAGAACATCAAGGAGGAGGTTATTGCCTTTGTCAGAGGCTGCAGAGGGTCCAAAAGGATGAAGATTATGAAAAGGCCATTAGAGTTGGAAATTAAAGACATCGTTGGTAACTAGACAGAAAGGTTGTAGTTGAATGATGAGGTTTGAAGACATTCTGTAGATAGTACAGAGTGAGAGGAAAGGAGTTCAGTTATGAAAGGAAGGAGACATAAAATGACTTAGCAAGGATAGATGAATCTTTTTTTTTGAGGATTGGAGAGGGAAGATAATTAAAGAGTAGGAAAGTGATTTGTAAGCAATGGGAAAGCACCTAGTAGATTGGGAGATGGTAAAGATAAGTGAGAGAATGAGGATGACAGAAAGGGCAATCTGGTAGAGAAGAAGGGATGGAAGGAAATTGCTTGTGCATTTACACAATCTTGCCTTGATAAGGAGAAGGATGACCTTTTCAAGTGAAAGAGGGATGAAGGGGGAAATACAGGGGGAAGATATCTGAGTGATATGAGAGGAAGAGGAGAGGAGAACGAGTTCTGAGCAAATGGCCCCAATATTTTCAGTTAAATATGAGACAAGCTTCCCAGCTGAAGATGTGGTAAAGGAGAGCTAGAAGAGGACTGAGGAGGGATGAAAAGGTTTGGAAAGCTGACAGTGGTTAGCTGCTAATAAACTGACCATTCCTTTTTCAAATAGGCACCAAGCACTTACTATTAGAGGATGCTCAATAACATTACATTGTGACTACACACTGTCACCAGAGCTGGAGAATTTGGAGGAATGAGCGGTTTGTTATACTAATACAGAGCGGATGACCATGAGGTAGCTGGTCAAGGTTTTCAATGTTAAAAGATAAAGCCTTTATTCTTTCATCGAAAGATGTTGATAGAAGGTGTAAGCACACACATCAACAGCACAGTTCATACATTCTTCCTGAATTATTCTCTCTCCACAAAGTTCTGAGTTTACAGGGGCCACATTAAGTCTTGGGGATAGGGGCTTCTCACAAATGAACTTTTGTATGGATCTGTGATTTCCTTTTGGGCTTATTGAATTGAATGTGTCCTTCCTTACACACTATTTCAAGTAAGAGCTAGATTTCAGAGTGTCCTTCCTTCTGTTCTTTCTGGAAACTGTAGGACTAATCCTAAGCATACAGAAGTGCCTATATGATGATTCCTAATAACTTGGAGATGAATGAAAAACAACACTGAGCTTGGGCTGTTAATGAACTTCATCATTAATTAACCTTGTCACTAATTTACTTCATCAATCAGATCAATTTCTGTCACTCCACTCCTCTGAGCACATAATACGTGCTCAACACTAGATGGAGCATTGGGGTTGATAGAATAGAGAACTCTTTCTTCATTTGCCTGTCAAGCCCCTGCTTTTATAAGTGCTGAGGAGGGGTTGAAGAAGATAGGAGAGAGAGTAAGATACCTTCGTAGCGCTTATTAGCTGTGTGGACCTGGGCAAATCACTGAACTCCTCTTTGCCTTATTTCTTCACCTGTAAAATGGGGATAATTATAGCACCTCAGAGTGTTGGGAAGTTTATTGTAAGGATCAAATAAGAAAATACTTGTAAAGTGTTTAGCACAGTGCCTAGCTCATACTAGGCATGATATAAATGTTAGCTATAATTTTGTTGCTGATGAAGAAGAAGAAGAAGAAGAAGGTGATGATGATGATGATGATGTCAGTAACCAAGTTGGTGTTTGGCAAATGTGACTCTTGATCAGATAAAGGGGAAAGGATTTGAGTGTAGATATTGAAGAGAGGTAAATTGATTCACCAAGAGGTGGATATAGGGAAGGGAGAACAGTATGGCCAATGTAAGGGCAATGTCCTGGGAAAGAACTGGGGTTGGAAGTGTTACATGTAATGGTGGGAAAAAATAGGGTTACAGGTCATAAGGCATCAGGAGAGATAGAACAACCAATAATAGTGGTCAGATAATGGAATTTTGGAATTCCTGAACATAGAAATAGAACTTGGGGATGATCTAAGAAATCCCCAAAGTACTTTCTTTGTACCTCTCTTCAGACACTTATACTATGCCATAAATTGTGTTTTTATGAGCAAGTGAATAAATAGATGAAAAAAGCATTTATCAAGCTCTTGCTGTGTTAGCCTCTGTCCTGGGGCTAAATACACAAGAACAAGACAGTCCCTGCTTTAAGGAACTTATATTCTAACATGGGAAGAGAAGGTATAGAAATACCCAGAGAGGAGGGTTTTGGAGTATGAAGTCAAGAGAGAATGATGATTGGAGTAAGGGGAAGGTTGATTGATGCGTCCTTCCCAGAAATGGTAGCATCCATTTGATTGCTATTCTAGAGGTAGAGTGGAAATGCTTGTGAGAAGGGAGTGGGAGTATAGCCACCACCAAAAGGTATGACGATGGCCATGAACCTGAGACTGGGCCAGGCTAGGACCTTGCCAATCAGAATCCAGAACCACAGGGGTGGGACCTTCAGTTCTGGATTGAGGCAGATCCTGGAAAGGATAGAGATATTGGGAAGTGGTTGTGGACATGTTTTGTTTTATCTATTACTATTTGCATTTATCTATATCTATCCATTACTATATCTATTTACCATACTTAGTTTCATCTGTTATGGTTATTTGTTACCTATCTTAGTTTTTCTTTCTACTTTACTCCTATCTGTCTTCCTTTCATTTATTTCTCCACCAAGACCTGAGACCACAGCTGAGAGAACATAATCTTCAGTGTTCTCTCTGCTACCCTTCTAACCCACTGACCTTCTAGTTCAGGAAACCATAGTCAAATTCTTACTGCCATTATTTCTATGAAGTGTGTGTGGCAATCTACACTCATGAATTTATTTAACTATCCCCTTTAAATTTGACAGTTGGGTGGCATAGTGGATAGAATGCTAGACTTGGAAGACCTGAGTTCCAATCTTGTCTCAGATAACTATGTGACCCTTGTGCAAGTCACTTAACCCCTTCAGCCCTTTGTCTCTAAGATGGGGATAATGAACTGGCAAGGTTGTGAGGATTAAATAAGATAATACTTACAGCATTATATAAGTGCTAGCCATTGTGGTGATCATTTCCAAACCAAAATACTTTTGACCAGTACTCCTCTTAACATGCTGTCTTGGTCTGATAATATGTAAGTTCCTTGAGGACAAGGCCTGCCTTTGACATTGTATGTGTATCCCTAGCACTCAGCTCAGTGCTGGTACATAGTAAGCACTTAAATATGATTTCATTTATTCATTCGTTCCATTGTAAAATTCCATGAGAACAAGAGTGTTTCTTATCCCTCTCTGCATCTTCCATAGTCCTAGCAGAGTTTTTTGCATCCAGGAATAATCAACAAATTTGTTGAAATGAATTGGATGAATTCAAGAGCTCTTCAGGAGTCATGCTTGAGTGGGGAGGATGGCACTTTATGACCTTACTTTTCACTTTTGGGTGCTGCTGCTTCCTTCCTTCCTCTTCCTGTGGGCTGAAGGTCTCCCTCACACAGGAGCTGGCATTGTCCAAAGACTCCATCACGCTGCTCTTTTCCCAGGGGTTGACTTTCACCTCCTGAAAGAACAATGTCCACAGCCATCTGCAATTCTGAAATACAACTTTCTCATGGCTCAGTCAGGTATCTGGGTACTTTTCTCTAAATCATCATCATTGTCCACCATCACAAAAGCCCACATGCTGGGCTTTTAAAATTCATATTTTTGACATTTAAGATGCATTTTGATAATCATGTAAATTATAATCAACTCTATGATGTTTGCTGTCCTCTACATGTTTAAATATGTATGAATATCATTCCAGAGGCTGTTTTATCTTGGGCATGTTTCTTTGAACTGTCATAAGTTGCCATTTCTAAATGTGCAAATGGTCAGTTAGTCAACAACCATTAATTAAATGCTTATTTATTGTGTTCCAGGGATGGGACATACAAAGAAAGGCCAGTCCCTAAAGAAACAAAGAAACCAACCAACCCCAAATAGTCCCAGCTTTCAAGGAATTTATAATCTCATGGGAGAGACAGTAGTGTATATGCAGAGTATATACAGGATTAATTGGAGATAACAGAGCACTAGAATTAAGAGGGGTTAGGAAAGGCTTCATGGGGAAGCTGAGATTTTACTTGAGACTTGAAGGAAGCCAGGAAAGCCTGTGCACTGAGGTAAGAAGGGATAGCATTACAGACATAGGGGATGGCCAGGACAAATACCTGGAGTTGGAATATAGAGTGTTGTGCTCAAGGCACAGCAAGGGGCCCATATAACCACTAATACATGGCTTGGCTCTGCTAGCCCTGTGACCTTACAGGAGTCACTACTCTTCTCTAGTCCTAGTCTTCCTTCTGGGTAAAATGAAAGGACTGAATGAGATTATCCTCTCACACTTCCAGGGTTAAAACCTTTGGCCCCAGGCAATCAAGAGACAAGTAGAATTCCCTGACATTGAACGTGACTGACAGCCAGCAGCTCTAAGAGCCTTGGGCAGTTTTGCATCCTAAGTACTTGTAGGAGGTTCCCTTCAACTTTGTATTTCTCTTTGTCATGGCTTGCTTAGATCAGGCTAGTTTTTGTTATTCATTTGTTTCAGTTCTGTTTGCCTCTTTATGACCCATTTGGGGTTTTCTTGGCAAACAAAATAGAGTGGTTTTCTATTTTCTTGTTCAGCTCATTTTGCAGATGAGGAAACTGAGGTAAGCAAGGTGAAGTGACTTGTCCAGGGTCACACAGCAGGTAAGTGTCCGAGGTCAATTTGAACCAAGGAAGGTGAGTGTTCCTACCTTGGAGCCCAACACTGCCTACTGCACCACAACGATGCTCCAGGTAATGACATAGACAGTCTAATTTTTGGACTTTGGTTTATGACTGTCAGATGGCATCTCTCTGGTTTTCCTCTTATTTTGTATCATGGGTCTCTTCATACATAATGGCCAAGATGGTGCTGGTTATTCAGTACTTTCAAGGCTGTTGTTCCTCTTCCAATCTCACTCGTCCATTTTCTGATTCCCTTTCCAGCTAATGCAGGAGAATTTTAAAATCACTACCTGTGTTATAGCTATTGTTAAAATAACAAGATTTCCATACTAAACACTCTATTGGTTTCTCTTGTGGGGCTTCTAAGAGGTGCCCAGATCACCACCAGATTCTACCTTATACTAATGATTCCAGCAGTTTTTAATAAACAGGGATACCAATATTGTACTTTAAAACAGAGAATCGTGACCTTTAAAACAGAGTACAGAAAGTTCCTGAACAACAATAGGACTAGAACTTCCCAGGGCTTCTATAGGAAGGATTCCTTCATTAGGTATTACAAATTTTGCACAGTCATTTCCGGTACAAAAGTCATTCACTTTTCAGCTGCCAAAACAGATATAAAATAAGCTTTGAGAACCTCTGCTGTTGCTCTGTTGTCATTTCTTACCCCATTGTGCAGGTAGAGGCTTTTTATGTTCTTTGGGCCTCCTTTTTCTCCTAACATAGGTACCCACTCCCCTTTTGTTATTCAGATCCCCTCACCAGCCTCAGCTCATCACCCCAATAGTCAGTTCCTCCTGGCCAGTGGAAGTCAGATCAGGTGTAGACTCTCTTTTGGCTGTTGCTTCTTCTACCTTTTAAAAGATCCAGGAACTTGAAATTTAACTTAATTAGAGGCATCTGATGGCACAGTAGATTGAGCACTAGACGTGGACTCAGGAAGATCATAGATCAAATTTGGTCTCACACATTTACTAGCTGTGTGGCTCTGGGCAACTCACCTAGTCCTCTTTGCCTTACTTAACCACCGTCATTTAAACTCAAGTTGCTTAACCTCAGTTTAGTTTCCTCATCTGTAAAATGATCTGGAGAAGGAAATGGCAAACCATTCCAGTATCTCTGCCAAGAAAATCCCAAATGGGGTCTTGTAGAGTCAGACACAACTGAAAACAAATGAACAGCTACAAAATGAGAATAATAGCACCTACCTTGAAGGGTTATTATGAGGAGCAAATGAGATAATATTTGTAAAGCACACTTAGGGCAGTGCCTGGTTTTTTAAATGCTTACTTCCCTCTCTCTCCCTCCCTCCCTCCCTATATTGCCCTTAGGCACACAGTTAATACATATCTGAGGCAGGATTTGAACTCAGGTCCCTGGGTTCAGATGAGATTACATTTGTAATGTTGTTTCAGACCTTGCAGTGCTATGTAAAAGCTAGTTTGTCATCATCATCATCATCATTATCATCAATTTTATTAATTATTCAAGTTGAAGCACGTTCATTGTGTGCATACCACACTTTGGCTCTCTGGTATCCTACACCCCCACCAAACTATTTCTTCCAAATCTCTCTCGGCAATCAAAAAGACACTTTTTCAGGGGCCATTTAGGTGTTTAAAGGATTCATCCCAGGAGACCCTGGCATTTTTGAAAGTAGAACTTAATAGCCAAAAGTGACCTTCAAGTTTTATGATGTGTTCTGGAGATGTTTCTAAGCCAGAGATCACTATGGTTTAGAAACCACTGACCTCCACAACAATAATCTTTCACTCCCTCTCCTATTTTACTTCTTTACCTACTTTTGAGGGGGTAAAATATAAGGAATCAGTGTCACAGCTGCATAATATTCCCCTCTCACCTTTGAATAAAGTTCTTTATCAGAGAGGCTCAGTTAATTAGGTATTGCTTAGATAAAGAGATGGGGCAGGTCCCTTAGTCCAAAATGGACATTTTAATCAGAAGATATTAAGGACAAACCTGAGGAAGAACCAAATGCTCCTTCTTTCCTCACCGAGATTTTCTCAGCATCATACAGGATTTAGGTGGAAAACAACTTTCACCAGGTAACACCTTCAGTTTCATTAGAGATACTTTGGCTTTACCTCTTCCAGATTAAAGTTTATCTTACTTTGCAGTTTAATTTTTAACTCCCTTTTATTTTCTCAAGAGGCAGCTTGATGGTTAACTGGATAGAGAAGATGATTGGAGTTAGGATGAGTGCTGTCAAAGGCCTGCCTCTTTCTTTACAGAGATGAATAGCTAAAGCACTGTGCCAGTGCTTTACAGTGCTACAAATACAAGTAAGGGGAGTGTGTGTGTGTGTGTGTGTGTGTGTGTGTGTGTGTGTGTGTGTGTGTGTGTAAAATCCTTCTTTCTGGTTCAGATGAGAGGGAGGTTCATGGGTCGTCTGTATTCATACAACTTCCCTCTCTTTCAATATATTTTTCGTCTCAGGCAGCGTATTATGTGAGATACTAAGTTTCCTCTTCCTCTTCCTTTCTTCCCCATGACATTCTTTTCTCTTTTCTGTCTTCTAAGACAGAACAAAAGAGAACAAAATCACCCAGACCTTCTGTCTCATTTAAATCCTTCAATAACCATGAGTATACTGGAACCCTGGAAGAATATTTGTTTTGTCTGCTTTAATAGGATATAAACACTTCATCATTGTGTGCCCCCTTCCAAAGTTCAGATTTATTTACCTTTGTGGTTATCTCTGTTTTTTTTTAGTGCAAATTACAGTTTTAATCCTTTTAAATAATAAATTTAAACTATGTTTTAAAAAGCTCACCCAGTACTTGGTTCCTAAACTCTGGGAAAGTAGAACTTACCAAAGAATGTAAAATTAAATCCATTTGTTGAGATTATTTCAGACACTGATTTCAACATACTTCTACTTTTAAATATAACACTCAAAAAGGCTGCAAACATTTCCCCAGATTTTCAGGGCCAAATCAAATTGCTTAACTGGCAAAATGATAACTGTAAACATGAAAAGGACTACTAACAATGGTTTATTTACCTAAAGGTCTGAAACAAAACCCAAATATTGGAGAAATTATTAGTGATAGTTGAATAATATGTAATACTTAGATATCATTTAAATAGCTTCTTTTTTGAAGTTCACATAATGGTTCAGAATAAACAGCACTGTATACATATCAGTGTACCCCAAGGAAAAGCTAGAAGCCACCAAAATTTTTGCCAGCAAGACAGCAACATAAACAAGGAACTGAAGTACAGTTCTCTCAAAGATTATTATAAAATTTGTTGCGGAGAGAAAATCTGTTGGTTTGATCTAATCATTTTATCAATTTCAAAGAGCTTTTCTCATAACCTTTTCATAGTACAAAAGAAAAAAACCTCCAGAATGATAAAATAGAAAACAAAAACAACCCCATAAATCTGTCTGGCCAGTCACACTGTAGAATTCCTGGAGACATATTATTCACTGAACATACCTTTCAAATAGCCAGGGTTATTAACAGAAAAACATCATTGAACATACTGTACAGTACAAGATTGCCTCAGAGGCTCTGTTCTTTAGATATGCAATACTTAAATCAATTGTGCAAACTTTCCAAATTATCCAATTCATTAAACAATGCAATTTCAAGACTGGGTGAATTTTCTGTTGAGCCACTGGTTACTTCCATGAAGAGTGAGAAAATGTTAGAAGTGTTTGAAGGAGAAAATATCCATCTAATAAGCTGTATACATTTGAGTGTGGGGAAGAAAGAGTTAGAAAGTTAGACTGCTACAGTTCTTTAAGAACACCTACCAAAGCAGGTCTCAAGGTTCACCCATGTGGCTTATACCCAACTTTGGTTACTAGTGCAATGGTGCCAGCCTCCTTCCCCTCTACTGGAGTATGGAGCAAGGCTTCATGTTCATAGGGATCAAATTTGGTACCAACAGGATCTAGTTCGAGCAAACCATGCCTTTTGAACACTTTTTGAATGTGGACTTCAGTCATGACAAGACCCTTATACAGGTTCTTCAAATGAGGGTTTTCTTCCTTTATTTCCTCTTTTGGGACACTTGCTGTTGCCTTTTCCAAAATTTCAGCAACTTCTAATAAATCTTTACAGAAACCTTGAACGCCATAGAATTTGCCTCTTCTACTAATTTCTGACTTCGCTCTTGCAAGTTCTTCGAATTGGCTAAGGCTCGCTTGTACTTCTCCCAGGTTTCTTGCAGCTATTCTTCTAATCTGACCTTGTCTTCAGTTAGTGTCTTTTCTGTAGAGGTACTGTCTGTCTTCTGTTCATTTTGATTCGAGTCGTCTTCTAAGTTTTGGCCACTATTTTTCTGTTTTGCTGCTGTACAGAGGAGTCTAGAAGAAGTCTGGAGCAAGAGGGCGATCTCCGAGAAAGTCCATCGCATCAAACCTGAGCACTGCGCCGCCATGGCCACCCCCTCATCCCTGACTTTATGGTTATCTCTTAATGTCTGTTTACATGTTAATAATTTTAAATTATCTAAATTTTAATATTTAGATTTTTTATTCATCTTTTTTATTTGTCAGTAATGCTTGAAAGCCAAGCACATTATTAAAAGCCCATTTTTCCTCCATAGGAAAATTACACTGTTTCACAGAATAAGTTATTGGTTGCAAGCTTTTATCCATTGCATTTGGAATTTCATATTCCAAGATATCTCTGAAAGCTGCCATGTCTTATATCATATTAACTATGGTTCCTTGGTACCTGAACTCTTTCTTTCTGGCTATTTGAAATATTTTTTCTTTGACCTAGAAGTTTGGGATTTTGACTATGGTATTGCTGGTAGTTTTCATTTATTTTTCCCTCAGGAGGCAGCCAATGGATTATTTCAATTGGCCCTTTGCCCTCTGGTTTTAATTGTTCTGAACAGGTTTCATTGATCAATTCTTGAAACAGGTTTAAACAGAAATTTTTGCTATGATTTTCAGGTAGTTTGATGATCCTGAGTCTTGTTTAAGATCTCCATGTTAAGCAGGACTAAAAAGAGCAAAAAATTAGTAGCCTGAAGCTAGAAGTATATTTTTTTTGTGTAATATAAACTATGTTGTTAGCATGGTCAGTGTTTTGTGTGGGTAAGTCCAGCTGAGTTTTTCCTGTGTCCTGATCAACCAAAAGGAAAGATGTAAAGAATGAAACCTTTCCCACAGAATTTCTGAAACCTTCCAAAAAGGTAGAATCTCTCTCTCTGCCTGTTACCTCTGGCCAAGTTAGGATGGCAGATAAGACAGAGAAGAAAAAAGGTAATCTTTTTACCCCAGTCTCCAAACTTTTGGCAGGCATCACAAACTTGAGACTCAATTTGTGACTAAAATGTAATTTCTCTACTGTGAATTTCTAAATTGTGGTTTGAAAGAAATATCTTAATAAGTTTTGGGGCATCACTTTAGAATTTGTTTTAAGGAAAAATAAAAACAATTTTGTGAAAGTTACACAAACACAGTATTTAGGCCTTTTATCTTTCTTCCCCTGGAAAGTTTTGTTTCCCCTGGAAACTATTGTTTTAGTGAAAGAGAGGAAGTGTTGTGTTTTGGGGTGCTGGGAAGCTCAAAATGTTAGTCAAAGGGGTCTGCCTCAAAGGAATTTAACCACTCAAGCCTTGTTTCAGTTAAAGTATTGAGGTTTATTTGTGAGGCCAATAGAAGCAGGCTAGATTCTAAGCAAATCTGAGTAATTTAATGGGGGTAAGATTGGTATTTACATACAAAAAAAGACTCTG